CATGGATACTGTCGGGCCGCGATGCACGAGAATGCCGGTTTCACCAGCTTCTGCCAGCTCGCCATTGTCTTTGACGACCATCATTTCGCATTCAGGAATGGCTTTACCAATGGAATTCGGGCGGATGGTCAGTTGCTCAGGCGGCAGATATGTCGACCGAAACGCTTCGGTCAGGCCATACATCAGGAAAACCTCTGTCTGCGGCAGTAAGACTTGCAGCTGCTCAACTGTTTTGGTCGGAACCGCGCCGCCAGAATTGGTAATATAGCGCAAGCTGGGCGGCGGGGCCTCTTTCAAAGACGGGGCGCTGCCGATCAGGATGGCCCACACAGTCGGAACGCCGGCCAGGCCAGTAATCTCATGTTTGCGGATCGCTTTGACAATGTCTTCGCCAAACCGAAAACTAACCAGGACCAGACAGGCCCCTTGCTCGACACTCGAAATCAGCTGGTTCAAGCCGTAATCAAAACTGAATGGCAGGACGGCCGCGAGACGATCATCAGACGTGATGCTGAGATAATTCGATACAATCCGCGATCCGGCCAGCATATTACGATGCGAAATCATCACGCCTTTGGGACGGCCCGTAGAGCCTGACGTGTAGAGGATGGCAGCCAGATCTTCACCGAGCTGTACATCATCCGGTCGCGATATTGGTTGATCGAGATCCAGATCATCGAGGAACACCAACTCACATCCGTCCAGATCGCCAATTTCGTCAGCGATGGTTGCAAATTTCGCTTTGCTGGTAATCAGCACACGCGCCTCGCTATCGTCGAGAATGTGCCGGACCTGATTGGCTTTCAATAGCAGATTGATCGGGACAAATACGCCGCCAGCGGCACTCACCGCAAAAATCGACCAGCATTCTGACAGTTCTTTCGGCAAATAAATCGCACACCGATCACCTGGCTTCAGACCTCTCGCCTGAAGCAAAGCTGCCAGCGCGGCTGTCTTCTGGCGAAACGCGGCATAATCGATCTCTGTTTCATTNGATCCAGAATACCCAGTGAATCGATTTCGCCATTGTCGAGCAGCGGCGTTTCACCATCGACGTCGACGCCATTAAAGGCGGGAAATCTTTCCTGAATGAATTTTGATGTTTCCTTGACGATCAGGTCTTTTGACAAGGTGTCGGTTTTCGTCATGACGATCTCCATTTGATGCGCATTCTGTAATAAGTAATAATTCGAAACCGTCTCTT